AAAGAATAGGTGATAACACCCAAAAAGCTGCCACCGCTGCAATGCTGTCACCTATTTTCCAACTCTGGAGGTGTATACCTTACCAAAAATGGCTGTGACGATTATTCAACTCATTTGATACCGGTGGCCAAGCTTTTGGACCGAGGCTGGTGGCCTTACTGCCGTCTCGCGTGGTAACTTGGATATTGTTTCGATTTATTTTTTTAAGTGACTCCGGTGAATATGATACACTCGTCCTATCTAATATTTGTTTTGAATTTTAACTTTAAACAGTCAAAGCATCATGTTTCCAGTCGATATTTCTGTAAACCAATTTGAAAATAACTATACTTTTCTTGCTTCGGGGACATATCCCCTCCCCCAATCCCCCCCCCCCCCCCCCGGATCGCTGACCTTGGTAACAAAGAATGCGGGAATAACCTGTCGATATTCGCAGTGCTTCGTGGATATGGATGATGAGCAAGCAATGCAGTTTCTATATAATTGTTTTCCAAAATTAAATGAGGCATCAATTCACGTATTATTGCACAACATATAAGAAATGTAATGCGCCTTTCAAATGTCCCCCCCCCCCCACTGCCCCAGGTCCGATGCCGGGATTTGGTCACGTTCTTCATGCCCAAGGGTCTGGATTTTGGTCACTCAAATTACATTGGTAACATTGTCGTACTACATGGAAAGGCAATCACTAGTGCGCCCCACGTATGTATGTCGGGGCATGGTCGGGGACTGTCACTTAGATTTTGCCCGAGGGGTGGGGATTTTGTCACCTCAATAGTGACAATCCCCACGTATTAGTTGGGGCAGCCCGGGGGAGGGGTGGGGGAAACAATTGATAGGCGCATAATAGTTGTAAATAAAATTCAAATTTTAACTTTAGAAGGAAAAAAGACATTAGCTTGATATTTCTTTAAAGGTATCAGTCATCAAGCACAAGGGAACGATTGTGATTGGTCAGTGTTGGAGGCGTGAGCTTGAAATCTAGATTCTGATTGGCCAGTATTGGCAGGGACATAGTCTAGGATTCATAAAACTTATATCCAAAAAGGGATTCCTCAAAACGTTTTTTTTTTTCAATCTGATAAGCTTTAAAATTGTTTAAAGTAATTATATTTTAAAACCAGTGCAACAGTGTGTGAAAAGAGGATCAACAAACCAATACCAATCAAAGCAACCATTACCAGCGGCCAAGCAATTTGTCCCTTCCGAACAGGCACATATTAACGGGCACTGCACAAGTGTACTTAACTCCCTCGGTTGCAATATTGCTTAGTTCTCAATGACATTTTATATCTCCCTTAGGCCTAGTCTTTTTTAGTGACTAATATAAACATTTGTATAAATGGTATTAAACTGATTATGACGCTGTACATTGAAGTACTTGCCCAAACGAATGCGAAATCGGCTTAATGCCCTAATCCCTCAAAAGGTTAAATCAGTTTAAGGAGAACATGAACATTGAAAGTATCCAAATGTCAGTGAACTGAGACGCTGGAAATAGCTGAAATTCAAAGTGATACACCGTTGGGATTACCGATGATGGTAATGATACAGTTTGGGGTTCGGCCTGCTGTTCTGGGGCGATCGAAGGCCGAACATGTTCATGGATGCAAATCTTATCAGTCTTAGCAAGGACATGCATGGGACTTTTTACTTAATCTAGATTGAGAGCTAAAGTGATTTTAAGGATAAATGTATCCGCTGGAGTTCTATGTCGTCTGTGTAAAAAAGTATCCCTACGATAATTCCTATTTTAAAAAAAGTAATTGTGGTCTCTGTCTAAGCCGGAAAGTTTTCATGACTCAGATGACCGTTAGCCTTTCCGATGTCTAATATACAGAAGAGAGTCAGAGTACGACCGTCGATGTTTGTCTTCAGGCTTGTTTACTTGCTGGAGAGTTGAGTGTCCTTCTGTGTGGCTTACATAAGCTGCTCATTGAAAGATATTCGGGATTGTAGTTTGATTGGGGACCTCACTGTTTTGCATGCTTCGTCATTTCCTTCGATGTTCTGAGAAAAACATTCGAACTAAGGAACTACTGAAATCGGCATTCGAAACCCGAGTAAAGCTTTCTCAGTTGATCCGCTGGTGAAACGTCTGAGCCTCCGCTGTGCGCCTCCTACAGAGGGAGAAAGTCCCTTTGATTGCAAAGTGGAGAAGCGTTTGTTGCTAACAACTGTCTCTAAGGCACTTTCATATTGTAAGGACTGTTTTTAATCTTTACTGGAATTGTGTAGGATTTGAATTGACAGGTCATAGAAACCTGCCCCCATTTTTTCTCTTATGTGCCATGCTCCACTTTTTATGCCATGTCACTCTCGGAATGACCTCTATAATTTGTGAACTTCTGAATAATTATGTTACATAGATCTCCCGGCTATTTTAAAACTTTTCCATTCCAATTCACCACTTCCAATATTCAAATTCGTCCGAGAACATTTTTACATGCTTTTAGTCAAATCAATTTAGTCATTTATCATTCAATTTCAAAGTTTGGTCAACTTATTTAAGTGTTTGGTCAAGAGAATTCGTCGATTCAGATTGAATTCGTCTCAGCATTTCAGAAATCGAATTCGTCTGGTATCAATCAATTTAAAACGTATGCTCAGTAAATTAGTCTGCATTAGTCTTTGTAAATTAGTCATTGCTAAAGCATTTCCCTTGTCCTCGAGCAAAATTAATTCAGCACATTCGTCCGTATGATGTTTTCAGAACAAGTAGGTGTGCTTAACCCTAAAAGGGCCGGGGCGGATTGCGCCCCCTCCCCGCACTTTTTTTCGCAATATTTTCGCCAATTGCGCGTTTCTCGCTGTGAGCTTTCATAACTTTCTAGCTTCAAGTTTGGCGCACGTTTTGATACCAACTGTATGAAAAATAAAGTCACCGAGCTAGTGCGCGACATTATTTGAGGCTGCGCGCCACCGAAATTGCACTTTCTCATATACGATACTTTATAGATAGTACAGCTTGCTGAACGAATGAAACAAGTGTTAAATTAAAATGAAAGAAGGAAACGTCAAAAACTACGATGACCATTAGCTCCCAGTCTAACATTTGTGTGTGCCCAAAACTGAGTCTAACGTATTTTTAAAACGATAATCAAAAGAAACAAACAACAAAGTTATGAAAAAATAAGGAGCTAAAAAAAAGTGGATAAATACTGTTATCAGCGGCCTGTATGTCTCCTACTGAAGATGTCATATAGTGAAGTATGACGAAATTGAAAAAAATTGTTATAAAATTGTGTGGCATATTAAGACGAATTTGTTTTCTGAATGACACGGTTCGGCGTAGAAGAGACGAAATCGAATACTCCTGGACGAATGTCTGTGCTCATTGAGCAGTTTTAATTTTCTTGAACTAAAATTGAAACTGTATCAAAAAGGACAAAATTAAACATTGAAAGTGCACTTTCGATTTTGCTGGACGAATTTGAATAGGCCTATTAGAATTGGACAGAAAATAGCCGGGAAAACCTAAATAGTACAATTCGAGACAGTATAGGTTGTGACTTAACGTTTGTCGGCTGATTGACTGCCAAGTAAGTACAAGCGAAATTAAACAATAAAAAAAAACAGATAGAAGTGGCCTCAGAAAACGTTTTGGCAACTTCCGTAATCAAATAGTCGTGACAATAAAGTTTCTGTAAAGATTGTATCCCTTTTAGACCATGCACATTGGAATTTAAAAATATGTAGTTTTAAGGGGAAATTTCACTAATGAGTGATGTTTAAAGACATTATATTCACCATCCGTGTAAATACCAGTAACTCTGATTGCTGTCTGGAATTGAGCACAATATCGTTGCAAAATTTACGGGTAGGCAACCGGACACCAGAAGAGACGAGTCCATATAACGGTGACGATCTTTGCATTAAGGGAGCGTAAGACACCAGACTAAGATCTTAAGTACAGGCGCTACAAGGTTGAGTCTGATTCTGAGGTCAATGACTTCTTGTGTATTATGCTCGTGCAAAACTGCCGTCGTGCGCGCTACAGTTATTCACAATGTTTGTTTCCCTGGTCACGTCCGTTGCTAATAACGCTTGCTGCGTAGAGGTGACAATTCTTGCACCGAGACCTTTTCCCCCTAATTTGTTTTCCAAATATACATGTGAAAGAACCCTTTCAGAGCCATAGGTGTTATTGTGGTGAAATACGAGGACTTCAATCGCTATAAGAGATTACTCGCTTCCTGCATTTTGATATGGATTCCGTGCGGACGATACTGTGATTTTGTTTCGTAATTCGTTTCTAAATCGGGAAGTAAAAAAAAAAATGCTTCTAAAAAATAATGTTTTAACCGTTTGGGATATTTATTTCGTTTGGTAAACCACAATGTTTTTTGGCGATAATCAAAATGGCCTAATGTAAAAGGTAGAAAAAACAACAGAGCAGTAACTGATATTATCGTCAGTTGCGACTTGCAGGCAAGCGCAAGCCCCCATCGGTACTATTTTCGTCCTCAGTTTTGTCACTGCGAATGGAAAAAAAGTCTTCCGATATATTATTGAGAACACTGTCGTATTGGGCTTCATAACAATGCATGACGCGATTGCTGCCTTCCAGTCGCATTGTTCCAAGGCTATCGCCCAACGAAACAATCAAAAAATAAATCAGGATCCTCGAGCCTCTTGTATGATAAAAAGCAGAGTAAGACGTATAATAGAACAACCATAAAGGGAAGATAACAGGGTTTTTTTCTCCTCCATGGAAAAACCTTAATCATCAAATTTAGTTATAAATATATAAAATGTACCAAAGTATGTGTACTACAAGAGGAATAGCTGGGTGCCGCCTTTTTGTTAAGATAACCAGGTTTTGGAAAGGTTATCCTAAAAAATGATTGGAAAATCACTTTTTCTGGGATGAAAATGCCTGCTATATATACACGTCATGTGGAAATCAGAATACTGTACATAAGACCAAAGAAATATGGCCCGAAAACCCATCCAAGAACCCCGCCGATGACTGGTTTATCTTTGTTTTTTATCCCCAGGTCAACACCTTTGTTGGGGCCTTTCACGATGCCGTCATCCTATACGCCTTGGCACTGAACGAGACCCTGGAAGCTGGTGAGAACCCTCGCGACGGACAGGCGCTTACTCACCGGATGTGGAACAGGACTTTCGAAGGTAAAAACTGCTCCCTTGTAAACCTGGCCCCGCCCTGATGTCATACATTATTTTACCCTGGAAACCAGGGAAAACATTGAAAACGAGTTACCAATTTTTTTTCGGATAGGGAAAAGTCAGAGAAATTTGGAAAAACACCAACAATTCAGGGAATTTGAAAGTGACCCAGAAGGGAAAGGTTTTTGCCGGTTTGGCGTTTGTGCCATGTGTCCAAGCTTTGGCCTTTGACTGGCTTTGTAGTGTTTATGCAGTGTGAATATTAAACGACTCTCCAGACAATAACAAGTGGCTATGTACCTCGTGACTATACCTAGCAACCTCGTTGAAGTACATATAATTCTCATGGAATTTTGGGAGTTTCTCAGGGAAATATAAGGGGAAACTCTGGAAATGGACTCATAATGTGCTGGGAACCCTGCTTAGACCCAAGCACATAATTTATATTGAAGCCCTTTTTCTTTTTAACAATTGTTGACTGGTGTGATGTGGGATAAGACGTTTTGAACACCCGAGGGGCGCATAGCACTCGAGGCGATGGGCCCCGAGGGTGTTCAAAACGTCATATCCCACATCACAGCATTGTTTTGTTATACCTCTGTTTTGGATTATTTGGATTTTGACGTGAAAATCACGATAACAAAACGGCAGTAAGCACAACAATCATGACAATCTAACGGCAACTCACATGCATGTCGCGTGCTCGAAACAGCAGATCGTCTGGTAGTTCGCTGCTCCCACTCATGTGTGAAAACATGGTGAAAATAGTGTGGGTACCAACGATACAAGCGTTTGACACCGTACGTGCCGTATACGTATACAAAGTCATAGCACACAGCCTGTGGGATATCACGTACTTGATATCCCACAGGGAGTCCGCCATGACTTTTTATAAACTTAACACGTGATCGTTCTAGGCCAATGAAAATACAGTATTCAAGACAGAGGTATAACAATATTCATTATTCACTGAAAAGTTACGTGTTTTTTTCGTCTTAAACAATGGCATACAAATGTTAAATCGCCGTGCTGTTTTTCAGGAAATGGGGGTGTGTGATATGAAAGGGGTTGAGTGAAGACACGAAGGCGTGCCTTCGGGGGCCCTGAAAGCTACGATGCTTTCTCCTGCATTCATAGCATTTATTTAGGAACTTTAGCATTTCATTTATTAATTTTGCTAGATCAGCGGTTGAAGTATTTCCAAAGTCCTTGACATCTCGTTTCAAGTCATCTGAAGTATCATTTTGAAGTATCTTTTGTTGACTTCGGTAAAGGATTACCATATTCGTCCCACGAACGTGCGATTTCTTACAATAACAAGAACTGTAGAGAGTGACAAAATGTATTTTTTTACAACAGAAAACACGTGTAGAAAAAATATATGTTGGCAATGATGTGGAAAACGATGCATTTTGGTATTAAAACTAGTTTTGTTCCCGTTTTGAATACGCAGTAACTGCCCAAACTGTTTTATTTATGTTCACACGAAGAATGAGTTGCTAGCGAACCTGTCTTCTACTTCCGGGGGTGTTTGGGGTTATTTTCCCCATTTTTGTAAGTTTCAGTTTTGAATGAGTTAGGTTTTCCAACGCTTATGAACTTTTTCCCATCACTTCCTGTGTTTTTGTTTTCACGAAATGCATTCCATATTTTTATTTTATTATAACATAGCACGTATCTCCAAAACAGTCGTGCAATTGGCAAAAACTTTCCAAGTTGGTTTAATGTTAGTAATAAAGTTTATGGGGTGGTAAACGACTGTTTTCGAGAAGGCCATGGATATAAAATTGATGGTAAAACTTTACCTTGACCGTCGTATCGTATTTTATTGTTAGAACTTCGAATTACTGGTATATACATGTAAATCCTGTACCGTATTTTTTTTGTAATTAAGAGAAAAAGATCACTACACGAGAAGTACAGTGTGATCGCAGTGAATATCCTACATGGGATCTATTTTACGCTTTGTTTTCTTTGATATTTGTTAATTTATCTTTTTCTGGCTTCATCTATGTTCTTGCATTAGGGTATTATAGTGTTCGCAGCGTGTGCAAGAAACCTTGCAGTACAGTAAACCAAATAACGGACCATAGCTTGGGCTTTTTTGAATTTGGGAATAGGTCCAACTTTCCCTTGCAGGTTTTCAGTGGGATTAATATGTGCAATAAATGTTTATGATATACCTGCATCTACGAATTTTATCGTCCACATGGTGCCATGCGATACTCGAAACGACGAACCAATAATATTAAAGGGCCCACGCAAAGTATTTTTTAATGGAATCCTTGAAAATGCACGTTTGTGTCCCATTTAACTCTCTTTCCAATTTTCGTTTTGCCATTTCAAGGGTATTTTGGTGCTCAAGTTTTCGGTTTTTATGTTAATGCCAATTTCCATATTTATGAGCAAACGTCTGATGCTATTTTAAGCAGAAACCTCAATGTTACAGGTATTTCAGCACCAACAGTTGCCAGAAGTTTGGACATTATAGGCTGTCATAAATTTTCTTTTCTCTGGTAATCAGTTGTTGTGTCAGAACATGGCAGTAAGCCAAGGAGCAAACATTTCTCACAAATGTTTTCAATGGAAAAAGTTTGGTTTCACGATTTGAACAGCCTCCTAAACTGAACAGTGTCTTCCTGAAATGACATCACAAAAACAGCGCCCTCAGTTGTACAGAAAAGCATGGACAATTTTAAATATGAAAAAAATGCACTTTTCAAATTAACCCAAAAGGGATGTCAAATAGTTTTCATACATTTAAGATAAGTAGAAAGTTGCACAAATATATACCAAAGAAAGATTCACTTCATGTACCCTTTAAAATAGCAGCGTGCGAAGGCTATTGGCGACGTTGAAATGCAAACCGAATAGTTTTGTTGCAATGGGGGTCTAAAATACGTCTGCTACACTGCCAAAACTGTGTTTAGCAATTAAACACTTTTCTAAACATTTTCTTGCTATCAGTTTGTAAACATGTTTAAATACTAAACATGTTTAGGGTCAGGATGGCTAGTGTTTAGCCATTGAACATTGATGTTTAGGAATTGGACACGTGATGTTTAGCTCCTAAACATGTTTACAAAGTGATAGCAAGACTGTGTTTAATTGCTAAACACAGTTTTTAGAGTGTAGACGTGAGATAAACCCTCGTTTTTTATGCACTTTTGGGACTCCGAAACTGCGTGTCCTTATGGGAGCATGGTCCGAACACAGACTCAAAATGGCGGCGCGGATTATTGTGGACAGCCATTTAAGGTCTGATACCGGCCAGCATGAAATCAATGTCAGACTGACCTACGAACTTTCAGTTTGACCACAATTCGTCAAAGTGCATAGCAACCATTAAGATATCAGAAGCACAAGGCCGTTGCCTGTCCTCATATACACGTGTGTTATGAGGTATGGTATAATGCAAGAACAGTAATCTTCAAGACCACATTTTAACCATTGATTCACAACTACAAATTGCAAACAATTGCAAACAAAGAAGTTTTAAAACACGATATAAGTGTTATCACAATGTACAATGATATAAGTGTTATCACAATGTACGGACATACCTAAAACAAGAAGATGATTCCGGTATCTTGAATACTAAGGGCGAATGTGTGCCATTTGTCAAATATGTCAGTTGCCAACCATGCACGGTTAAATGTCCCTTTTGGCCGCGCATTCAAAATAGCGCAAAATGTTTCTAAACATAAGAATGGTCAATGCCAAACGTGCTTTGTCTCCTTCAAAAGAAGCTGAAGTAGGCCAGAAGCTTGAGGAACTAGGCTGTACTTCCCACTTACTACTGTATTTTGTGAAGAAAGGGACTTGTTTTTTAAGTTTGTCATTTGTAAGCAAAGAAACAGTCAAACTATCTTCTTTTTCCAGGCCTCTTATGATTCTTACATTTTTGGGGTTATTGTTTCTTTTGTCTTTCTTTTTAGGAATCATGGGCAATGTTACAATTGACGCCAATGGGGATAGAGAAGCCGATTACTCACTCCTTGAAATGACCGACATCGAAAACGGCGTATTCACGGTAAGACACGAATCTGGTCACGTGATCACTGAACACTAACTTGACATTTATGTTAGCGTATCTTCAAGAAATGTCGCCAATTGTTTCATCGTAAACAAACTAACGTTTCCCCTGCCGGTTGTACTCGAGCATTGTACTGAAGCAAGAGAACATATTCGTGTATACAGACCTGCAAAAATGGCGCGCTGTGGTTGAGATGCACAGCGCCACCATGTGTCTGCCCAACACCTCAAAATAATTCTCTTGCTTTACAACACTGGAGTTGTTTGTTTGTGTGTGTAGGTTGGATCGAGTGACAGTGCTCGTCAGATTTAGATGCACTGCATTGTACGATCGAAATCCTGTCGGATTTCTTTCCGCAGGACTTTTCCTCGTTATGTTTTGGGAACGGAATATGTTACCCGATCGATCTTGGTATTGTCTACATGTTGGTATTGGATTAAATCGTATTATGTATTCCATAACTGATATTTCAATTAATCACGTTCTACTTTTACTGACACACGTTGCTTTTGCGTACAGAAGTACGTGTTCTTTTGCAAATTTGCACCGAGAATGGTTAGTCCTGAAGTAGCTTTTATGCCGTGGTGGACTTTGTGCGATGTAATCAGTTCCTTCTCCATTGGGGATTATAACCCAATTTCGTGCTCCTGTATTTTTATAGTGCTTTGTTGTTTTAGGTGACTTCCTATAAATTAGATCACGAGCCGATGGTCGGTTGGATGTCACGTTTCAAATTAACTTTACTTGTATTTTGTCTACTTGCAATGTAACGCATTACGATATCCGTGTACCATTGCTAATTGTTGGATGACGTTTGTTGAAAGAGTATCTCGTTTTTAAAACTGTCATTGTGGAGTCGAAAACTGTTTGGAAATCTTCAGTTTTCTTCACTCCACGCTTCCATCCGCGCCTCGGCGAGTGCGTCAAAGGGTAAATGGACGCACTCTTGTCTTTTAATATTCCAACCGCATTCTATATAACGTGTTCCGGTGCAAGATGTGCTCTTGCGCGCACATTGGCAAATTGGAGTGACCTTTCTGTAGTGTGGTGTGGCCTTTTTGTTCAGGCTGACCAAAAATAAGTGCATCCATCGATCCATGGAGGTAGGAATAGACTGCAAGGGCCCGCGCCATTGTTGGTTGATGCACATGACGTAGGTTCCCATGGGATCCCTGTTCCATTCAAAATGACCGGGGTATCGACTATACAATTAGACGAACTTAGTTGCCATGGTTACGCGTTATTTTCTATAATTCTTTGTCTTTGCCGCGAAAGGCCTTTATTATATTTTAAACAAATCTCAGTGGGTTTCATACCAAAATGAAGCATTTAACGGTTAATCTATATTGCGTTAATTTTCCGAATGCAATGCTGGTTTACCACAGTCAATTCGATATAAAATGGGAAAAGAAATAAACAAATTTGCAACAGTCAGACTGAACCTGTTTGTAACTTTTTATGTGATAATCTTATCAAGACAATTTAATCCAATATGAATATAATCCGATATGAATAAAAGCAAGACGTATTATTGTTGGATTTCCAACTTCGGGCAGATCAGTCGATTACAAAGTTGTATAATCATTGTTTTTGTGACTGACCAAATCAAGTCGTCAAGAACAAGTCAGCTCAGAAGCGTTGGACTGTAACCCCTCTGTGTTTGTGTTTGATTATTGAAATCAGGGCATTGCTGATTGACCTTCCCTATGGGAACCCTGACGCGTGTCTCTAGCGCAGTTTGCTATCAGCAGCTGAAGGCGCTTCAAAGCAAACACGAGGGGGGGGGGGGGACTGGGTGAGCCAGCACAGGCGGAATTTGCTTAGGCGGTTGAAGCACGCCGCCTGTAATGACCTCAGGTGGTCGCTTGTGCATTGTCAGGATGTCGTGTATGGCTGAAATTCGATTGGTAATGGCGCTACCACGCAAACATAGAATCGTTCTCGGTCCCACCTGGGAATAATCCGCTGTGTTATCTCGTTTTTAGGGAGATTTCCTGTTACTCAAACCCGATGGAACGCCGGCTTAGGTTTCCTTCTGCCGAGAAAATGATCTCCGCTAGGAAATGCGGTGTCGTGTATCGCAACAAGTCAAGTAGAAGACAAACACTGCTCCGCAGTTTCTCAAACCCCTTTCCCCCCGTACGGAAGTTGAAGATTATCGCCGTTGTCCGAGTAATTGTGTTGGGAAACTTGTTTACGGCAACAATTTTCCAATTACTTGTCCCTACTGCATATCCACTCATTACTACCAACCCAAAGCAATGTAATAAGGCGGAAGGCACTATCGGGTAAATAACTCCCTCCTGTTACCCGATAGCAAAAGTTATCTCGGACCACTGCGGCATCCAAGTCTGAAGTTAATAATATATCCATCGCAGATTTCCCCATAGAGTGGCTTCTTAACCGGATCACACTCTTCCTTGTCTGTCGAAGAAATTGCATTGCAGTATGCAATGAGCGAAAGGTGTGAATCGGCACCTTGAACTGTGGACAGTTGCTGGTATTAGAGCGCCATAAGTTACCGTACGTCACTCATCGAATTGCTGGCACTGGCCGAACTTGAAAGCACTGTGTATTTTCTTTTAACATCCATAGTAGAGATCAAAATTCCAAGGCTCACACAGCATGCAATTTAGTCCTCTTTTTCTTGATTTCTCAAGAATGCAAAGGAAAATTTACCGTTCTCAACGTCTTTGGCATGGGGCGGGTATGTTTCTGACATTATCATCCACATGATGAATATTACGTGGTTATTATCAAATATGCATTTGGTACTGTTTGGTTACCTAGCATCGAACTAGTTCATCGTTGATGCTGAGTTTCATTGAATTGCTTGTTCCAACCATAATGAATATGTAGGCCCCGTGCATGGTTCGTTGGAAACAATCGCATGTCATTATGATTGGTTCCACTCTTTAATGTCGCCATTTACTTTTCATTACATCGTATAAGTACAAACAGTAATCTAGAATCTCGCGTAAATAGACCTCATGTATTTTTTTCTTGATATAATTTATCAGGTACATATAATTGGCTTGTGTGGATGAACGAACTAATCCATTTTTAAGCCCTTGAAGGTGTTAGACATGGCACCTCAGATGCCCTGAAGCGCGTTTTGTTTAGAAAGAGTAGATTGGCCCGAAATGTATGAAGTGACATTGCAAGGTGTTGGCCTACCAGTTAAATTCACAGCTACGAGCAAGTTATACGTGCGACACAGTTTGTATTCGTGTTTTATGAACATGGTTACGGCGCTGTCGTGGATTTTTAATAGTCAGTGATCTGGAACCGGGAATTACATTAAAAGATTCGAACAATAAGTTTGAAAGTATTAACGGTTCCAACGTTTCAGAACCATCATGCACACCGGATGACGAATTTTCATTTTTTTTAGGGGGACGAATCATCAACCAGAAAGCTTTGGAATTTACAGTAAATTCAAGTAGGGCATATAATTTGCTGAAAACGATTTACAAAAGAATGATATCCATGGGAGGAAAATGCATTTTCTTCCAACATAGTACGTAGAATTAAAGCTTTGAACTAAATCTCTGTTAATAGAGCCTCCCTAATGATATTACAATTCGGCTTTCCATGATGTTTTCCCTAAGACCAGTCACAAAACGGTTATTGCAGGAATAGCAACTAATTATGTTCTTCGAATTCTTTGTCGATTTATAGAAATTTACGGAATGTAAAAAGCCCCGTACAAAAAATATGTCGTTCGTTATATTTCTCTTCTTGGGCAGGTGCACATTGGTTCGAATCGCACCTGGTCACTTATTCGGGTTGATTTCCTCTGCGTTCATGCAACATCGATTAAGCACTCGAGCCTTACCGGTATACCGCAAGATCTATCTTGGATTTTTATACCCGTACACCATTCAGGCGTTAATTTCGTCCTCCAGGGTCGTCGTGAAGTGGCCAGACCCATTGTTCTCAAATGGCCTCTTACCATTTTTCGCTCACGACCTTCTTCAAGATGCGGCTTGATGGAGAGCTGGAGCTATCCAAACAATTCAAAAGCGGAGCGGTAATGGGTATTGTGAGATGGCGGGGATGTCGACGCTAGCCGGTGGCCTTGATGATCCTGCAGATAAAGCAGTCTGCTTCGTGCCTTCCAAGATAGTAGTTTCTTTAAACAAAAAACCGTATACTCAAAAGCAAGCTATGTTTTTCATCCATCCCCTGTCAAAGAAACAAGGTCTTTTACCATCATCGACTCAACCGCCATGAAGTCAGTTTTAAAGCGACCATGAAATAAATTTTACCTTGAAAATATTTTTAGTACAATTGTTTCCACTTACTGTCCATCCTGTTTTCTGACGTCAGGGGACACTATTAACTGTATACACAACTCAACATCATAGGTATCCTATCCGTATGGGGGAAATGAAAAAATTGCCAACAAAAGAGGGCGCGTTTTTCCACTTGTGAGAGCCCCGTGGACGGGGCACACAGCATGTGTGTAGGCCTACTGTATTGGTTCGCGCGCGAATTACGCACGACTTTCTGAATGTGCCAAAGCTATTAGCCACAGCGTCTTCACGTGAGCGTCAGGCGTCGTCGCGCGCGAATACGTTCGAATTTAACTTGCGAATGGTTTCCCAGACTAATCCCCGCCCCCAATAACTTTTGATCATTCGAAATATGTAATGGATGGACTGGAAACCAGTCTAGGTCTCCCCTAACTCTCCTTTTCTGGCCGTTGAAGGGGTATTTATGCACGGGGTCTACCCGATGTTCCCCGAAATCCTAGGGTTAAGGTTAGGGTTACAGTTAGGGTTAGGGTATAGGATTTCGGGGAACATCGGTATTGGTGAACATATGTATTGGCGCACGGAGCCCGTAGACCGTATTGTTATAATTTAGATTGAACAACATGGGCGTCGACCGGGGGGTGCAAGGGAGGGGGAAATGCCCCACTCCACCCCACCGTTTCTGGTGAGTTTTTGCCCTGTCGAGAAAAAAATCCAGACGATTCCCAGCTCGTTCGTAGACATCAACTATCGATCAAACCAATTCATGTGTCAGGTTTTCGTGTGATATATTAGGCACATTCCGAAGTAACAATCTGTCGATTCCTCACACCGTACGGTATAGAGTTCAACATGGAGGGAAAGTACGCTATATCTTTTGCGAACTTGTTCCAATGGTGCGGGAAAAGTACAATGGCCCACGCCCTCCTCCCATATAACTCATATTTACCTTCCACCTTGTGTCAACTTGTCAAAAAATGAAAGCGATGACAGCTTACTGTTTGTGTTTGCGTAATCACCGCGTGCTGTTACCTGATTTTGTTTGCTGAACTGCGTCATTTACGCACACATCGACTTTGTTTATCTAACGTTGGCACCATGTATACATGATACGGAGTGGGCCAGTTGCTATCAATTACCAGTTTTACTCCGTGGGCCCCTAGACTGAAGAAAAATATCCAAAGACCTGGGTTGAGCGATGAAAGGTTTTGCTGGAATAGATTCCTGAAGGTGGAATTCGCGGTGGTCTATCTGCTGATTAGTGCGTGATATGTGTTTGATTTTAAAGCGGGAGGTTGTTTTGCACGCCGGGAATGAAATGGTTGCTATTCTCATAGGTTACATTTCTCTTTCAAAACATTTGAAACACTAACGTGTGAAGAAACACTAATGTGTAAAGATCCCCTTTTGAAAAGTACATAGAAATTCCAACAGATAATCGAAAGATTAAAGTGAATTGTTCTCTGGTGACAAATATCTGCAAATACTTCTGAAAACCTGAATTCAGTTAAAGGGGCATTACGGCCTGAAATCACCGAAAATTTCATGTTTTGGATTGTTAACTAATCCTATTCCAAAGGTCTGGTTGAAAGGAAACTAAGCTAACGTCTTACCGTTCCCGAGAAAAGATGAAACACCCCGCGGTTGTTTACATCGGACACAGTGGTAAACGTTGTGTGTGTGTGTGTGTGTGTCACATAATACACGCCACCAATACATACATGCTGTTTCTTTCACGTCCGCAGTATGCGAAGCACTAGTGCGACAGGATTCACAACTAGCGTTCATGCTGCTCGATTTTTCTGCGACAAAATAATATTGTGACCCCTGAACTTCGTTCTCGCATGAATAACACCAAAACTCCCAGTTTTTAAAGGATGGTTGTGTGGACGTTTATATTCTACTTTTAAATGCTCTTTCCAATTAATATAATTTCGTTCCAAACGCGTTTTATAGCCCAAATGGGCGCATTCCAGGCCGTAATGTCCCTTTGAAGATCCAAACTGCGTGGGACATGCACAAACACCACTTGGGGGCGCAATTGCGTCAAGTTCCACAGGGTCTAAGATGCCCATTTTAACAACGTGCACCTCGCAGCTCGGGCCTGATCGCCGATAATAGCCCTCGCCTTCGGCAACCAGACCCCTAATTTCTCCATAACACTAATATCCGAATATTCCATAAAAAATCGCATATTTTCATTCAGAATTTGGGGTTAAAGTTAACACACAATTATAGAAACAATTTGATCTGTCATTGACTGGCATTTGGTGTGTATTAAAAGACAAAAACAACATTTTTCGTTTAGAATTCCAAGTTTCAGAACAACATATGGTATAGTAAAAGTAGCCCTGCATCTGATGTGTCATGCACTGACCTGTTGTTCGTATTCGTTCTATCCCTACAGGTCGCTGGCTATTACGATGGGGTAGCTAAAAAGTACACACCTGTCCCGGGCGTGGTTATCGATTGGCCCGGGCCGACCCCGCCCAAAGATGTACCAGACTGTGGCTTCAAGGGAGAATTCTGCATCGAAGAGGAGGACAATAACCGTAAGTTACCGTTTCATTATATGCTCCTTAGAACTTGTGTTTGAGGAGAAATGCATTAAGAAAGAAGTATGAACATGCTTTCAACTGACAGTAATTCCCAGAAATAATTTTTTTTAAATACTTTGAATTCTATTTTCCGTTTCGAAGGAGAAAAAAAGTCGTGTTTTCTTTTTCTACCCATAGAGGGTATTTTTTTAATGCTGTGGACATTTTAGCTTTCATAAACAAATATTTTATTCAAATTTATGTCGTTAGAAACTCTTATAAACAGAAGCGATTTTATATTTGGGATCGAGTGTCTTTTTATGATAGTTGCCCATTACACAGCCCTACTTAAGGGCCGCTCTAGGTAAGGGCTACACAAAGAAGGGATAGAAAAGGAAAACTTTCCACAAAAATGACGTCAAGTAGACACATGAGTATTTTGCAAACTCGCATATTAAATACCCATATACTCACTTTGTATTGTTTTATTGAACAGCTACAGTCATGATCATGATGATAACAATGGCAGTAGTAGTCGTCTTGGCTGTGATAATCATTATCTATGTTGTCAGGTGAGTTGCAGTGTTATTATTTTTTTTCACTAACATAACTATAGCTGTAAAGCAGCAGAAGTAGCCATATTATCGGTTATAGTGAATGGAATGGGGAGTTTTGGCACAGAGGTGGAAGAAGCGCCCTCATGTGGGAATAGAATCGTTGAAAATAATACGCATCGCGGATTAATCTACATCATCATACGGCCCTTTGATCTTTTTTAGTGGACCGAATACAGTTGTTATATATATATTATTATAGACCTATGAGAAACCCCCAGCCACAAACAGTGTTGGTGCATTCCTGTTTGACACGACCTACCTATTGATGGAAAAAATATATCTGAAATGTTTTACTTTTAATAACGCAGCCATGTTCGAAAATTGCCTCGTTTTCAATTTAAAAGAACCTGATTTTCGTAAAACATTGTTAGGATCCGAATTCAGTTTTCACACCATCTCTAGAGGGCGCCATATAGGGATGTTTTTGTTATTATCTTGTCCAGAGTGTAATAGGCATGAACGCTTTATATGAGGAGATCAGTAGTAAGTGCAGAGCGCTGATCAGCCTACAAACCTAACCCAGAGGTGACCGTTAGGTAGGACGTGGGTGGCGTGAGTCGATTGCAAAGTGGCATGTGAGGTTAGCCTCGTGGCTTATTCGTTCTTGAAAGCGTGCCAGAAAATGCGAGTGGTTCCCGGGTTGCCAAGTTTGCTTCTACAGCCAAGTATAGTCACTTACCGTATTACATCCCTTGACTGAAATAATTTCCACGTGATTTAAAATGACTTGTTCGGTTTTCTCAAAAAAAATGTATATTTTTTTCTTTCTTTTATCCAGTTTTTTTATCGAGTCCTTCTTTTTAATGAAATAATTTTCACCTATATCTTATCCGATTCTTGGTTCTGAAGGGTTTTTTTCAAGGGAAGTCAAGTCTGAGAACCATTCTGTTAACAACTTGCGCAAGCGTATTACGGTTTGTGACTATACCTGGTTGCAGAAAAAAAAGTAATTGCACACGGGTCGGTCTCTGCTGCCCGGTAAGGTCTGGTGATAGAACTTGCTGTCACGGTTTTCTCACGGCTTCAATTGCAAATAAATGTCCCTGGTCATGTTTGCTATGTTTGACGGTCGTGCCATATTGGTTATCCTACCAAGCCCATACTGACTGTCCATTAGGTCCGATGGCAAACATGGGTTCACCAGAGCTAAGAGGTGCTAATTTCCTCCCTGTGTGGAGTGGTCCACTCTTGATGTTTGCCCGCAAGAAGGAACAAAATCACGGTCTTGTCATTTTCATGCCCTCTCACGAATTGGGGATTTATGCTATGTCGTGACTTGCCTTTTTGATTGATTTACTTGTCCTTTTATCACATTCTCACATTCGCCATCTGAGAAATGAGTTTCTTAGAGAACCCGTTTTCTCTCATTTGGAATCTTCGACTGGATTTTAAGTCTTCTGACATTCCTATCCTAGGTTATCATGCATGCATTATACGGAGAGGCCAGCAGAGACCAAACTTCTTGCAACTTTTTGTTTATTTTTCTACGTGACCATCTTCCCGCCTTGCTTAATCCTCACCGTGATGGGGAAACTCAGTTTTCGTGTCATTATGCATCACTAACACATGCATACTTCTTGACGCTTGCTCCGCTGCAATGATGAAGGTATCACTATTACAAATTTCCATTACACAATCAATCAGCGTGGTGTTACAACTGCACCTGTGTAGACCTGCAAACGAGATAGAAATGTTGTAGCACGTGAAAATATGCACAGGTGTGCAGTTGTTGTGACCAGTTAAAGGTGGTATAGGCGAGCTCTGAGGGAGGGGTATTTACCATAAGGCGAAATTGACAGTGTTGTACACTTGTACTCGTACTCGCACTCAAGTAAATTATTTCGTACTTGTACTCGTACTTGCAGTAGCGTAAATCCGTGTCGGCGAGTGGAGGGAGGGGTGTTACCAAAAATCAAAATATTGACCGGCCGTGGAAATTCGAACACCGGAGGGGGTTGCGGGATGTTGGAAACCACATGACACTAGGTGGCGCTGTTCAAGATTCAAATGTACTTCTTATGCAAAGTTGTGTGCTTACCCTTAACCTTATATCAAAACGGTGCATTAAGGCCCAAAGCTTCTGTAATATAGGCCTATGTTCTCCGTTTTTCATAACTATTTAATACATTTGGACTGTTGGAAAGTTAAAATAAAACCCCAAAACCGACATTTCGTGGTTTATCGGGGGAGGGGGGATGATCCAATGGCCAATAGAATCCCCCTATCAAAAAATATGGGAAACATCCTCCTCATCAAACCCCCCCCCCCCCCCCCCCGGATTTACGCCCTTGCGTACTTTTGCTTATAAGACCACACGTACTCGTACTCGCTTACTCGCGTACTCGTACTCATGGTAGAGTACTCGTACTCATGGTAGAGTACTCGTACTCATGGTAATAGTTAAGCTACTCGTATTCGTACACAGGGAAAGTACCCGTAGTATACATGTTGACATAGTCGTACTCTTACTTAGTGTTAAAATTGCCATGTACTCGTACTCGTATATACATGTACTTGCACTCATAAAAACGTACTCGACTAATTAACGGGTCTTGCTAATCGCTTCTCAAGGTTTGAATTAGGAAACCATTTACAAACGATTCTATGGTGGCTGAACACTATGCTTAGATGCAAGGACCGGGAAACATCTTCGTCATTGTATTGTTTTGTGTGAGGGAAAACATGAAAAGCTATTCTGTTTGCCCAAAATATATTTTTAAGTTTTGAGCGATGCTTTTTCCATGTGTCGTCTTGGCCCGCTTGTTTCATTGGTCTAAAAGGGGGGGCAGAAAATAAATGACATAATGGGAGGGGTTATAGTTCAGCTCTTTTGGCTTGAGTGTTCACTGCTTCGTGTAATCGCTTGTTGAATGTTTCCAAATTTAATCCGAAGGAACCGACAATTGATAGTTTCATTTTTGCGGGCGCCGAACGAGAAAGTTTTCTAGATCATTGTTATTTACATATTTTGTAAGCGCACATTGCAAAACTGGGATTGCATCATATATTAGCCTATTTCTTTAAGCTATATATTTCATAGAAATATCATTCGGCAATTAACAACCCCTTTTTAAAACAACACAAACATTTTGTCCGTGAAAACTCCCTCCACAAATGATTAAAGAGTACCTGTGTTGCAGTGAATTTTGTTTTTAATTCCAAACATGCATGAAATGGTCCACAAAAAAGCGCTCTCTCGTGACGGAGACCGGCAACATTGACACCTATCTCCCTGTGGAATGAAAAAGGTCCCAAAGACTCGTGAAGTAGAGATTAAGGGTGTCATGTTAGTGTGACTTTCTCTATTATTTTTATATACGCCGTAAAAGACACGACCAGTAATTTTTTTGTCAACAAAGTGGTTGAACTAATGATCTTTGGTTCATACCACGACGCCTCCAAAATCCGTACAAACAACGCCGGACTTTGTCTGGATCTCACTGCCGAGTCTCAAGTCAATTACAACCAAATTGAGTGGATATCCGGTCTATGAAACACGCAGCTTGGTAGATTAATTCAAAAAGTAAAGGCAAATCAAAGTAAAATCTAATTTTGAAGTTTACAAAAATCAAACATCTTATCCATCAGAATTATCTTTCACTGGTAAAAAAAATTATGGCATATTGTAGCAAATCGGTAAAAGAAATTTACTTGCATCTTTACTGAATTATTCATGAAAAGCTGAAATGATACTGCGTATCTAATAGTTTTAGTGAAGTACTTGCACTTCTCTGTATTTAGAGAACGCCTCGCGATCCATGGGCGAATCGGAAGTAAAGGAGAGGCCGATAAACGCATAACACTTGACGGAGACCAGACTCGCACTCGAGCCGGTAACCGTGTAGCTATCGAAAACACTCATTCGACACATGGTTGCGTTGATTTGTTTTTCTAATTGATAAGCACAGCCTCGATTAAACCCTAGAGTGGCGAGTTGTCAAACGGAGATGAAGCCAATATGAATATCAAAATTGAATTTCTGCACAATTTTAGAGAGACATGTTTGACATTTGCGCAGAATATTAAACGGAGTATAAATTCAAGACCATTGAAACAATTTGCTTGGCATATGGCGCTCCTATTAGTATTCCCACCGCTCTTGGTATCACTCTTGGTATCACTGAAAGAAAAGAAATAGGATCCGCTCGCAGTAAAAAGGATATGGCACACATATTTAACTAATGTATATAATTTTTGGCTCCGGTTCGAAATATGTTTACGAATTTTGTAGCTTTTTGAGTTGATTTCAGATAATGACAAATGATGAAATTTAATAATTGATGTTTTAGCAAGTGGCGGTGGCAGTTGAATTCTCACAGTTGACGGACTTCTATATTCATTCGACCAAAAGATTTATTAGACTACTCCAGTTTTCTTTATTTATGTGTTGTGTTTCCAATGTTGTCAACATTGATAGTGGACAGTATTTTTTTCAGAAAAATCTAAACCAGATCATAGTTGCATGTGAAGCGTAAAATGTTACGCTCAGCGTCATAGTTGTGATGAGCTAGCGATATTTAATAACCTACACGTATTTCATCAGCTTGATATCAAGTCGAGATACCTACTTTAAACGTGCCGCGATCCATTAAAAAAGAAGGATTATGTTGCACTTGGTCGGCATGTGGGGAAATAACCGGGATAACCAATGTTCTGAGTACTGAGACCCCTCACTGAAATAGCTCGTTTGATGTAAAAGCCCTCGTCGGTGTAACACTATCATGAATATTATAAACCTGTTTTATTACATACATCTCCAATGAATTATTGCCTGATGCACGACTATGTATATCTGCAGATCTTCTCAGGTTCTACTCCATATCAGCCTCGTTCTTATAGAGAGAGCATCGTGGTGTAGCGCAATGGCTGACGCCATGGGGACGAGGTTGCAATAGACTATTTCGGGGATACCGCCATCTTAGCTTTATCTCAATGGGTACGTTCGAATAGCTTACGCGTGTAAGTAAAACTTACACGAGAGCGTTCGGTTAGCATCACGTGATAGGCCTACTCATGGCTGCCCCGATGTCAACCACCAGTGCCCCAGCTCGCAAGCGGGTCTTCTGTGGATGCCTGTGTGTATTGGCGTAGCTGGACGAGTTCGTGCACGAACTCGTCGTGGCTAGATTGAAAATGGCGGGAACTTGAATTTATTACGAAGAAAATACAAATGTAAAGAGATTTGTGACTCAAACGTGATACAACTTACGTTCACGTGATGGACAGATATATGGACGTTTTTTTAATAATTCAGAGCATACCTTCCGATTCTAGCAATTTTTGATCTGGTTGCAATGATAAAACTAATTGCGTTTTACCAGCGGAGCAGACGACAATATGCGGGGCGTGTTAACATTTTAAAGTCCCGCAACCTAGTAACCTTTGACCTTAATTTTCCCAGAATCCCAGGCGAATACACTGCAACGTTCGATTAGCCTCATTTCGTGGCTTCCCCGAGTGCAAACCCCGTGTATACAAGTGGTGTATTATCTACTCGAATGCACCCATTGTGTTTTGTTGTCACGTGGTGTCTCACGTGGTATCTCTTTGGGCGCAAGCATTGATCATTGCTGTGGCGTGTCAGCTACGTTGAAAGCACGAGTTAACAAAATACTTGCCCCTGAAAGCTTGGATCACCTGCAACATAATCCAAGATGGCAGTAGGCTAGGCTATATCCATGAAACGGTCTATGTACTTTAATAAGTCTATTTTACTAGTAAACAGTTACATACCGCTTACTTAACTAGTTTATTTACAGACCTTTTCACACTTGAAAAAATATACATCTGGTGGGTGACTCCAGGGCGACACAGGGATGAAAATAAGCCACAATTCTTATTTGAAATTCTCACTCCCGTGCCACCCCGAGCCGCCCCCGAGATTGCTCTTTCCCCAGTGCGAGTTCACCCCTGCTCGAGACCAGGTTCGAAAAGTTTATCCGGTGACACACTTTCCCTGGGGCGAGAAATGTAGTGTGAAATGAGTAGGGGTGAGTTCGCCCAGGGGCAAGCATCTGAGGGTTAAAATAGACTCTGAAGTTTAATGTAATTGCAACAATTCATCTGAAAATAAGCATACATTGTGTACAATGAACGCTTTATTTGCGACTTTTTTACTGACGCAAATCCAACCAACAGCTCGTAATACTGGACGGCAAGGTGTAACAAATCAAATAAAAACGTCGGTTAAATTTGACTTAATTGTTTTGACATGAAAACGTACACAGGGTTTTACTCCTTTCGCTTCTAATTTGGATAAGTAATATTGAAATGTATTCAGCCTCATTCCCATTTTCTCTGCATCGGAGACCACAAACATCTCGCGAGATTCATGTTTACGATAAACAAAAAATGCACGCGTAGTGATATGCTTCCCGGTACTGGAACTAGGTAGTTTATGCTTAAATGGTGAGGAAATGTATCAGTTTAAACGATACAATTCAATAAAATAAAACATTTTAAAAGCGAAATGTCTCAAATTTAAATTGCTAAAATAAAATTTGGATATTTTTAAAAAAGACTACGTGCTTATTCGATATATTATCGGTTTTATGACGTCATTTTAACGGTCCGTAGCACGCACGATGAAGCACGTGTGGAAATAGGCTCAACGTGCATGTGAGTCCACCATTTAAACATTTGAGGATTTGATGAGGCAATTTTTGTGGATTTTTTTTTTGTGTGTGTTTTCAAAAATATCGGAATTTGGCAATGAAGAGCGTAGCATTTGTCATGTACGTTTCGGTATAGGCTGCCCCGGGTTGAAGACTTCGAGTGTGAATCCTTCTTGCAAATCCCCGGGGCGAACTCGCCTCAGGGCGAGACAAAAAACACGGTTTGCGCAAAACAAGTCTGAAACAAGGCGGGGTTGAAACCGAGGATGAAAAATCGAGAGTCACCCGGGTAGTACCGGGGCGGCCCTTGGGCGAGTTCGCCCCGGGCGCCCCGGGCATGGATGCTCTAGTGTGAAGAGGCCTTGTACAAATTCAACACGCATCGCTCCGCTCATGCTAGAATTGATCTTCCCCTGCGGTGATCGTTGGCTTTATATGTGTTCTACACTCTCTCATTTCCTTCAGACACTTATATTCAAGCCTTCCTCTCCTCTGCAGGATGTACGAGGTTAAATTTCTTCCAAATTGTTTTATGTGCCGCCCATCGAAATGTGCCATACCGTCATAAAACCTGATACTGAACCTCTGCCGGCGTTTGGTAATAACCCAAACTAAAATCATGACTGCGCGCCATAGTAAATCAAAGGGAACCTTGAAGCTTGTAGAGATACCAAAAGTCGCTAGAATTACTCAATTCCCTCCGGGGATTCAACTTGCAGAAGCCATAACATGCAATCTAGTACCTTGACTTCTGCTATAAATGAAGTTATTGGGGACACATGCGGGATGACAACTCAAGAGCCTTTTTTTCGCCGTAAAGGCGTCTCTTGGGAAATCAGTTCTGCACTCTTCATCCCGAGTGGTTTATCGAATAAATTCAGGACAATTTAGTGTCCGTTCCATGGACAAGCAGACTAAATTGTGTACGCCCCTCTGGAAAATCAACCTTCACAAACATGCTTAGTGATCCCAGAAAACGACTTTCATATTTCGGTCCGCAGGCTTGAAAAAAATCCTGTGGTATACCTCTACCTAAGAGTTCCCAACCTAAAAAAATTGTCATCTTCCTCCATCCCAGTACTGATTCACTAACTTTATATTTAAAAAAAAAATAGTGCATTATCCACTACATGCTATTCCGTATCACGCATATTATACTTGGCGTGCTTTAAAAAAGACTTTTGTATCAAAATTTGAAATTGATTTTGCCCAACATCGTAATGAAGGTTTGGGTATAATAAAGATAAATCACCACAAATCTTTTCTTTTTCTCTCTCTCGTTTCCAGAAAGTACAGACTAGAAATGGAGTTGGCCAACATGGTTTGGAAGATCAAGTGGGAAGACATCACCTTTAACAACAAGATGGACAAACAGCGGAAACTTACGGGCAGCCGGCTGAGCCTTGGTTCGGTAGGTTACCAGGGAAATGGTTGTGTGAAATCGATAACAGCAGCCTAGGTCAGTTGGCTGGTAGTACTGTCAAATTATTCAAAAATACCCAGGCAAAGGTTTTAAATCACATCTGTCAACTGTCTACCAAAAAGAGGCATTTTATCATTCGGGGCCAAGGTAATACGGAAACTAACCATTTCTATTTTAATATTCAGCTATTTCCCATTTACATTGGCCTGTAATCAATTACATACTTTTCTGTTAATCAGTTATGCTTTTCATTTAAGTTTCTGTCGGTCGTAAATCAAGCATAAATTAATTTTCCTGGTACCCATCGGCATCTAAGGGCGCTGGTAACCGTTGATCCATTCACAATATTGTGTAAAGGAAACACATGCGATACAAAGCATTGTGGGTACCCACAACCATTGGCGTCGGCTCGACATGAAATATGTCCCCTTGGGTAATGATTTAAAAAATCATTCACTGAAGGTCAAATAATTCAGAGATATTTAGCACCCATGTTTAGGATATATAGTTCGAGGTAAACGAAGTTAAACGCGCAAACGTGTGAGTTGACCAATTAGAGCATCGAACGAGGCGTCCCTGTACTATAATTCCGAGATCCGTGTGAACTCGTAGTTCCACGGCTAATACAATTCTCACTTAACACGTATATCAACTGCAGAGGGCGCTTTTAATTTCTCACAGCCAGCGCGGGCGAGACCGAACGTTAGACATTAACTCAGTGATATTGGATTGCTCGGGCTAAACAGCTTCTCCATCAATGTCATTGGAAACAACTACCTGCTCTGCGATATTGGTCGTTAGAGAATTGGAGTCATCAATCGAGAATGTTGCCAGGTCCATTAATTTTCACAAATTGGGATTCTTGTAAGTGGGCCTACTCATCTTCTTGTCTGGAAGCCAACGTTTTTTTGGGGTGATATTGATAAATTCAATTGAGGTCTACTTTACGCATTAATTGCATAGTGAAATACACACTTGAAACCATGCATCCGTGAAGAACAAGCGTAAGTTAAGTTATATCACAAAATATCACGTTGTAATAGTGTATATATAATTGGAATATACAAACGACCGTAGATCATAACATCAGGACACTTAATATAAACAAAACACATTCGCACAAAACAGACACAAGATTTATGTCACTTTATGTTCTCATCGCATCGATAATAGTCACAGTGATCGTTAATAACATCAAGACAAGACAAGGCGACTATGTCTCTCCTTGAACCGTGATTTTCAATTAGGCGAGCTGTAATATCATCCACTAGCCCGCAACTGCCGTGCCTCGCATAATATCCTAAATCTTACCGCTATACGCGGATGGCAAGAATTTTGCGTATGAAGGTCGCGTTCCGTTCATTGCTAATTCCTACCGGCCGTGGTCGCACATTGTTCACCTGAAATAACACTCGTGATTCCGGGCGGTCGCGAGCTGTTAACTGAATTTGTGAGCCCTTTGCTGTTATTATATACGGAGCATGTTAAAGAATGCACTTAATACATACGTCGGTAAACTGTGTCTCTCTACCTTTAGGCGAAGTTGTTCTCATTAATTCATGACTGAAGGTATAGCAGTACTTGATCTCACAGGACCATCAAAATGTACGATTTGTTTCTTGATAGAAAATCATGGTAGGCCTATAGGGTTTCTCCCTTTTGACGTCACCGACAGCCATCTTGGGTTGCAAGGTTCTATGAAAATGCATGACAAAGCTTTGAATTCTTCTATGCAAGTGGGCCAAGTCATCATACCAAATAGGTTGAAAGAAAAGTCCCAACAAATTAGCTTCTACGGAGAAATCTCTCCATTGCTAAATATCTGTCCTCTCATTGAACGCGGTTAACGGCGGTTTTAACCGAAACAAGGAACAGAGAAAAGGCTCATTAGGAACGAAGCAAACGATGTATATTTAACTGTGTTTTGTGAGTGCTAACTTGAAACTGTGAAATTGAAACTCTTAGTGGTCCATTTCTCCGGTGATACTTCCTTACATAGTTGAGTTTAATTTCATTTGACGGTGATATTTTTTAGAATAGTTTCGGTTCGAAAATAGCAATATGAATAAGCAAACAACGGTTCCAAATATGGACTTGATGACGTAGCATTCAAAACTAAACGGGAAGCTCTGACGAAAATAGATAACTGCCATTATGGAAATGGCAAAAACGGTTTGTTTGATTTTTTGATGTTTTCGTTAATGCAATGGATTTTTGGGTTGCCACAATTTCAAGTAAACACCACTTTTTGAAATTGGCGTCACTGATCAAGGTATGAATAACAAAGGCGTGCAGGGAGTAGAGGCATGTGCTAGATTCTCCAATTACCACTAATCATTGTATATTTAAACCCTTTTCTCTACACTTGTCTCGAAGATTCCTGAGTTCGTGAGCATGGTATTACGCAGAGAGATAAAAGTTAGCAACGGTTCTGTAATCGAGCCATTAAGCTTTCACGCCATTGCTTGTCCATACCACCATCTTTGGTGTGATTCATAACTCCAATGTCGGCCCGCAGCTGTCTGTCTGTCTGTAATTTCAGACCCACCTAAAAAAAAAAAATGCCCGATCAGTGGTAAATCAATATCCGTACATGAAACAGCCGTTGGGGAGGCAGCGCTGAAACACCGCTGCATCCAGGGCTACTTCTGTTGATGATACTGAATGATGGTGAGCTACAGCACATTGGGAGACATGTTCTGTGGCCACCAGGCGGAAATGAGCACTGACATGCGGTAACAAGCAGCGCTACATCTCGTATTTGTTAAGGATAATGCATTTCCCGTATAGCCTTTCTAATATCTCTTTACGTTTACCCCTGAAATCGTCAATTTTAAAGAGACTTGTACCCAGGGGGGGAGTAAAACATGTGTAGATGCCCTCTGAAGAAAGACCTTCATGCTCGTTCTCGTTGTGAAAACTCATATTTTTTGTTTGGTTATGTGGTGATCCATGACTATCTCAATTGAAGTGATGCCTATTCCTAAATATAGGTTCTCAACTCTGGCTTTTTGCTCATTAAGATTACAAGTACATTGAATATGCCGCAGCCTTTTGTATATGAGTTCAATGCGCAGTACAATGCCGCAGTGACTAGTTTAAAATAAAACACTGCAGCACACTGTAGAGTTGCCTTCGAGTTTTACCTTTGTCTTAGAATCGAAAGACCAGGTCCTTCCGGTAAATGCTTGGCTTTTATGCATCCAGGAGAATCTTCAAAGGAAAGACATGCACAATCACTGCCTACCCTTAGTTGCCTGAAACAAGATATTTTATCACGAAGCGAATTCGTGAATTAAACAATTATTCTTATTTAAGATTATAATGTATTATGCTGACGAAAATATCCGCGAAATGAATATTATTTATGCATTCACCTCTAAAAGCCCGCAGGGAATGTAACCATCTTGCCCTGTGTCTTGGCGGGAATTTATCCCGTGCACATTAGTGGGACAAGAATGGTTCCCATGCAAAATTCAAAGCCTTGGGATTTCGTTGAGTTCGGTCGTCGATCGATACGCACGTGTAAGGCATTTGATACGGCGTTTTACCTTAAAGGGCACCGGTATCGCTGTATCGTGAAATTGCCGCCCATTCAGGATTTGTGTAACATCATCCCAGCCTCAACAGAGTTGTGCTTTTGTTCACAACACTTCGATAGCAGCTGTTTGTGACATATAATGACGGTTTTGCAGCCCTGAAATGAATCTGGCCTTATTGTAAAGTAGGCTAAATAGCGTAACGGCTGAGTTGTGTAAATTAACATCATTTAAATCACATTTTTTTGCACTAAACACGTATTTCTTATCATTTTATAGTGAATCTGACAAGGTAATAGAAAGTTCGGATTAAAAGTAACTGATCTTTTTTTAATGTCCTTTTTCAGGGTGAGTCTGGACAAAGCGTATGGGGAGGAAATCAACAAATCTTTACAGTTACTGGTTACTACAAGGTGAGCTCGAGGTTGTAGTTAGCTGTACATCTTGAAATCGTACATCGAATCGCAATATTGAACATTGCCCCTACACTAATTCAATTTTTTAGTATCTCTCAGTTGCACGTACTTGTTTGCATTTCAACGTGATCTGATGGCGTCGCACAAAGTGCGAATGGGCTACAGTACTGATAAGGTTATCTAACTGGACAAATCAGTGAACTCAATTTAAACTCCACAAAAGCAGCGGTCATGCACATCTACACTCTACGCCAATATATATTTTTTTCAGAAAATGGAATATCACAACATTATTGTGATGGCAGTCGTGTATGTTGCCAACCTCTGGGATTACAGTATATCAGAATGTTAGGCCTATACTTTTTTGAGGTCGCAAGACACCGACGCCATTTTGGACATCCGTGTGCAATTGTGCGTGTCCCATTCACTTAACCGTGGCTTCTCAATGGTTGCCACTACCTAATGGTGATCCCATAGGAGACACAGTACTTATCTATTGGGGAGTAAAACCGTGAAGTGTTTCGTGCGTCATAGTTAAGTAAAGCAGCAGAGCTCCCGACCCGATTCTGTCTGATTTAATATTTAACCGCACGACCTGATTTTCGCACCATTGTGACAGAATACTTGGCTTTTCCCAAAGTTAAAAAAACTGGGTCTTGCTAATTGAATTCTCAAGGCAATTAAAGAGCAAAATTAAAAAGTGGAGTACCATAAATTATACCGTAATTGTTACCGCAGCGTGTAATGGCCCTTAGCCTATGAATTAATAACACCTAACCCCAAGGGTTGACCTGGAATGAGGGGAGAAAACTCACTGTCCTAAATAAAACCAGAATTATTTGCATTGCCGCGTTTTGTTGTTGGTTTAATCGATTCAGTAGTAAGTGGTCGCCTTTCGTTCTCTATCTGAACTCATTTGGGAACAGGCTGTCAATGTTACCAAAACCGCAGAAACGACTGGGAATTTGTCCTCTTCCTTTGAATAAGGAACGCATATTGGAAAATAGTGTCCTCACTATACGACGCAAAACTTTAAATGAATTTTTCTTCGAACAACTTTCAGGAAACTGTCGTCAGTATAATATAGTTATATAAAATGGTCTATAAAAAGAATGGGATTAAATCGCCCAAGATTAGGTATCGGATATGAGATCGCGTCCACAAATGCATTACCAGACGTGGAACCTTCGTCGCAATATATAGAGGGCAAAGGGTCCTTTTACATAATCCCAAATGTCAGAGATAATATCTCTGCGAAGATATGCATTAAATCATTCTCCATCTTCCTTTTGTGCTTCTGTAAAATTACAAGGGGGAATTTAGGCTCTTGCAAATCGAGGGAGTGGGTATGGGGAAACGGGAAGTCGAACAACTTCTATCTCTTGACCCAGTTTTTGCGTCCTACCCGCAGGGAAACATCATAGCAATCAAGAAGGTCAACAGAATCCGAGTGGAGCTGACACGAAACGTTCTGATTGACTTCAAGCATGTAAGTCGGCCCCAACAGTCAAGGGGGGGGGAGGTCCTCTGAAAACTCGCCTAAGGAGATGTCCTGATGAGGGGCAATTCGCTTCTTGTAAGGAGCTGAGAAGGGCTCCGTATGCAAACAGTGACTGAATCCCCGGGTCAAGATATTCGGGATTTACATGGACAGACATTCTGGCTTTGGTTACTGAATCAATGTTGGGGGGGGGGGGAGTTCATATTATCTGTGTTTCGTTAATGGCTCTCAGTAGGTCAGCGCCATCGTGGTGTGCTTCCTCACCCCATCCTGATGTTGGGTACACAAATTCACGTATTCTCACTGGTAATCATAATGTTATTCTTCACAATACAATTGAGACCGCATATATATGCTATTTTGGGAAAGAATTGGAGAGGGGTCCTATGTGTTTACAACGAAGCAGTGGATGTTTCCCTCATGATCTGAAGCTTAGAACAAACAGCAAGATAATTTATTAAAGGGGTGTATGAAAGAAGTAGGAACCATACTGTACGCGAGCAGCTTTAATAAACCATAATTGTTTGTAGTATTTCATTTTTTAAAGTAGTATATTTCCGAGACTGTATCATTTTTTACCATTAATAACAATTAATTGTTTTTGATTTTTTCCTCTCTTCTTTGCCATTATTTGCAATTGTCATTTCAATCCCATTATCAACCAATTGGTTTCAGATGCGGGACATTTCTCACGATCACGTGACGAAGTTTATCGGTGCCTGCATCGACCCACCAAACATCAGCGTGATGACTGAGTACTGCCCCAAGGGCAGTTTGCAGGTGAGTCTGGCCCCCGTCTTCACATACGTGACCAGACTGATTTATGTGGCGTTGTTTTTAACAATTAAAGTAGACTCAGCAAGAAAATCTGGTCATAGGTCATTGTAAAAACTTATCCCAGCTCGGCCTCCGTATGATACCACGTCCATCGCCTGAAGGCGCAAAATTCAAACCTATCATTCTGAAATTAAAAAATAAATAGCAATTAAACCAAATACAACCAATACTGTTTGTTAAAAAATACACATTTTGTTTGTTTATAATTTTTTTTAAATAAGTGCACTCAGTAAAAAAAAAAAAAAAACTTCGGTGTGTATTGTTATGGAAATGTAGCACGGGGGTGCAGACTTTAACTTATACAGTCAATAAGCTATCCATGAAGCCCTTTCATATTAACAGAAAACAAATGCCTTGATGCTTTGTGTGATTTTACTTCCAAACATTAGCGCCAACTGCCCCACAATTAAATTAGTAACCTCAACGTATAGGAGGCCAGTGGGGGGCTGGATGTTAGAGTGGGGGGACGCCTAATTTCTGTTAAACCCGTTGGCTACTTATAGACTAACAAATTTCCAGTGGCGCCCCTCTCCACCCCCACCTTCCTTCCCCCCTCCCCACCCTCTGCCCCAGCTACGCTGCTTACTTCATGACCATCTGTAAAGTTGTCTGGTCATGGAAAATAGACCTAAGACCTAATGACGTGTGGCTTTGTTTACATATGCACTTTCCTATGGGAGCGAAGTTGGGACGCCAGACGAGGTAGGGACTGTCTACTACATAGAAAAGCGATCATGTAAACAAAGCGTGACGTCATTAGGTTTCAGGCCTTTTGAGGGTGAAAACAAAGTGAACGATGAATACGTGAAACCATGCATGCAAGTATTAAAATGCAAGGTCTGTTATTTCTGAGTAAAATGGGGCGGTACTGGATGCCGCTTAATACGCGCTGCAAAAGTTTTGGACCTTAAAAGCGGAACATCCATTGAGCTCTGGACAGTGGTGTACATGTACATTGTCAAGGACTAAAGGATGTTATTGCCTTATATACCAGAACTATGATTTATACTCCATGTTGAGATTGAATCAGTATCATAACTCTTTTTGGTGTGAACTCGTACCACATTATATATCATCCAACAAGGAATTCAAACGTTGTTCAGTGCGCCACCTAGAGGTCGCCAAGGACAGTCATTTTCGCAGTGCATTGTGGGCGACGGTCGACAAATTTGCTGCGCGGGACACTTAAAATTGTTAGTTTGTCCCGTCAGTAGGTTCGTAGGCGTATGATTCAAGTATCTACTCTCCTTTTCTTTTCTGTTTATCAAGATATGGTGTTTTGTGAGGCGGTAGAATGCTTTGTCTCGATCTATCAAACATTTTCAAGTTGTCTACTGAGTTTCGTTCAAATCGCAGCAAGTCGGCCATTTTTTTGTCGACCGAAAACTTGAAAAATGGACTCTCTGTTGAAATTCTTGGTGGCGCACTGTATTGGGAATCGCCCGTATTTAAACCTCTGGTTCCCTCATTTTTCCAATCCAAGACGTATCAGTAATCTTCCCTCTTCATCATTATGTTTAGTTTTTAATTTCCTGATTTTTTTCTATGCACTTCCCTTTCTTTCGGAATTGTCATTGTTAATTTTAAAAAAAATTACCTTGTGTTCTTGGAATGCAAAGAAGACACGTCCAAATACTGGGGCAATTAAAATCGAATCTCACATGACGTGTCCATTTGCCTTTGGGTTTGATTTCATGCACTGTTTGTCAGCAGAGTGGGATTTGAATATTTATATCGACGGGGAGCGAATTCCAACACGTCTTTGTTGCAGTCTCGATGCAAATCTCAATGGACAGGTGGTCTTTGATAAGCCGCCATTGATGTTGCAGCCGGCTTGACATTCGTATCAGACAAACATTTTTCGATCAATAGATATGCAATTTTTCAGCAGGCGTTGCACCGGCATTGTACTAGCATAAGCTCAACTAAAACTTCGACCAGTGTCTTTTTCTTCCCCTTTTTACTTTGATATTGAATGATTTACTCTCTGATCAGGGGAATCCAATTGGAATGTGTCGGCATAAATAAAAGTGAAATATATCAAGCATATTGGAAGAAGGAAGGCCTCGGAGTTAGAGTTTTCCTCGGAGTCAATGCAAAATAATTCACTGAAGTATTAAAATAATTCAACCTTTTACTTGAAAAACAAAATCAGCATCTTTCACGTTGGCCGTTTCTCAAATCCCGGCTTTCTTCCCGTCTCTGGCTTGCACTTGAGGCAATACACAGGTTGGAAATGGAGCTGGAGCCGCAGACAGAAACGAAGTCGGAGTTTGAAAAAAAATTGAGTTTGCATCTGACAGTCTGGGTACCAGACTAGAGCTAATGTGTGCTTGAATGTATCCCAATAGCATTATGTCCATGTAAACATGTATACGTGCAATCAAAAGAACACTATACGTATGTCATGAGCGTTGGAACTTACGTGTTGGGCAACCCATGTCTTATTCTCGGTGGGCGATAGTCTGGTTAATTCCTTGACATTTTTTTCTTCATCATGTAGAAATGAAAAAATACAAAGGTTTATGGGGAATCTAAACTGAACCGAAACTGACTGATTCCTGTTGAGGATTGAAGATTGTTTCTTTGTGGTAATTTAATATATTAGAAATATATTTGGTTGCACATATTGTGAAAGTTATAATGTAAGACATTCGTAGACATTGGGTTGTATGTTTTAAATGAATTTCTGACAATTCAAAGCATGTGACAGTCCATTTCCTATTGTCCATTTTTCCTTGCCTCCTTTGTTTGTGCTACATGCTCGCTATTCCATAAGATAATTACATTCCCTACGCGCGTGAACACGAACGACGGATACTGAGCTCAATATTAAATGGGCGCTGGATGCAGGCCTTTGGGGAAACGCTTTACCCTTGGCCTGGAAAGAAATCTTGAAAGGATCTGCCGGGCATTCCAATTAATTTGTCTGAATTGAAGACTTGCAATCGGTGGAGATCAAGGCATGATTATGTTTATGCTTTTACGCTTATGTTTTATAGCTTTTATCGACAATACTGCCCCTTCAGTGGTGTTTCGTGCAATACCTAAATGACCTTGCAAGGGTTTTTTTTCCTCTGTGGATGGGGGAAGTTATATTTGATTAAGGGCCGGTGGAAATGGTTTCTAGTACCGATTAATGATTTTTTTTTGGTTTGTTGGGAGAGTCATTTCTGCCCGTTTGGGCACGGTGACGGAAAGCCTCCCGAACAACATGACATTTAAGGCGGTTTTTAACGACTGGTTAATCAAGTTACGGAGTCTTGATTTACGCAGAGTGATTCTAGGCACGCGGTAGTTCTACTCATGGCTAGCTTACATGTCGAGATTCCTACTGCAAGTTTTCATGTGCCAAATCGACTTCCTGTGGCTGTACACGAGGCAAACATTCATAATGTCTAGACGGAATGCTTCACAAAATCGTTTTACTTAAAAGGATTAACAATGTAAATTGGAAGTCCTTATTCACAGGCAAATGCCGTTCACAAAGATAGCACTCAGTGACACCAAAAGCCAATGTCATCTGTACTGAGGCTGGTTCATATTTAATGTCACGAAATATTCGCTGCGTAAACTTTCATAAATTCACTAACGTCACAAATTCGCGTCCGCGTTCGCTTTCGCGCTTAGAATGAACCATCCTTAACGTCATGCCGACTTGCAACTACCTAAGCATCTTTCTCATGTTATTCTGCCTACAGTGGAAGGCAAACACCAGCGCTTTTAAACCATCCATATTTCAAAATGTGTAGTACTTGGAAGGGTAGCATAGAGATAGCCGAAAGTTCACATCACGTGACCACAACACAAATATCGTGGTCGGATGTGATATCATATGGTCATATATTATACTACCGATTGGAGAAAAGACACTTTGATTGAATTCCTTGGAGAAGCCGCTGATGTTATCACTGTATCTGATAGGGCGTATGAATGTTATTTGCTTTAATGCAAACAACTTGATCATGGTTGACTCCGACTGCTAAGTGAGATATCAGCAGAAACACCAACACTCGTTTTAGAAATACCGTTACCATATTCATCTTTTTACCAAAATGTTCTGCTCGATCATAGTTTCATAAAACACTGTTTTGCTTAACTATATTGTTTACATTGCCACCTTCGGGCACCGTTACGATGGTTTGGTTCTGTATCAATGAAAATCGATTTACTTGAAATGTTTGGGGTGATTTGAGATGTTTGTTAAAAAAAAAAAAACACCAACGTTTTTGTGCGAATTCCATTTATAAGGAAAAGAAAGGATTGCCACAAATGGTAGCAGACAAACACATGCCCTGTATATAATGTATGCAGGATTTGATTAAAACGTTAATGTATGAGATATGAGACCGTGTATAGGTCATATACATGTAATATAAAGGTTTAGTTTACTTTACTATAAGTCATGTAAGTAGTTGAGTTCCTAAAGCAGCTGTGTATACTACATGTACAGACATAAACGTCATCTGAATGGAATCTATGAAATACGCCCTCTCGGGACCGGATTGTCACTAAACGGCTTTTAATAATTCAACACGCGCTCTCCTATCGATTGAACACACGTTCGAAGTGGTCTTGACCATTATCAATATTTACTCATTTCGGATCAATACTTTTGGGAACTCAAATCATTAATAAATCAAAAAGCAAGGTCACTTATTCGATCTATGGCCAAACCGGCAGATGAAATTTGAGGTTTTAACCTTTTAATAATTTAATATCACTGACGTCTTTATGTGATCTGATAGAAAACCAAATTATGGATCGTTTTACGAACACCGTTTCAGACTTGTAATACCGTATGTTACATTCAACAGATCCTTCTGTTTATATTTCTAACTATATTACTACAGTATTACCTTTAAAACTAACTAGTTTATAAAGAGTTCGCGTTTTTGTTCTAGTTTTGCTTCAGTTAAAATTGATTTCGAAGTTGTTGCTAATTGTTGCGTTATTTTCTTTCCTTTTTCCTTCCAGGATATTTTGGAAAATGACTCCATCGAGTTGGATGACATGTTCAAGTATTCCCTATTGTATGACATAGTCAAGGTGAGGAAACAACAACTTGTGTTGAATGGACTCTGTACTTTAAATCCTGCCCTTAACCTTTGAATATTTCTTGTTAATCCCTTCTTGCCGAAATGACCAAATGTTTCGAAATTCTGTCTTAAGAAGAGCAAGCACTCAAGGGTTCGAAAAAAATCTAGCTGCTTCCAAAACGGACAACAACTTGATTAAAATTTACTCGCGCCTCCAGGTCATTTCGACTCTTGTAATTTTTTTACGACACAAAAATAGAACAAGTAAATTTAAGGCCGGCAGCAAAAGGAAACTTGAGAAATATGAATAATTCATTGTATGGCCGATTTGATCACCTAACTAAGCATTGGAGTGGCTCTAGGCATCAGTAGGGTACTTTGAATGTCTCCAGCGAGACAAGCTGTTAGGGTGGAGGTGTTACCAGAGTACGGAAGTTAACAGATCGAGTATTTAATCAAGTCACTGTACATAACGCGGCTTTCTCAGGTGCAGCGGTTTCCATTCCGCTCTGTTTATTGCCGTTGAGGGCGCCATTAAGTAAAACTAATAATCGCCGGAGGAGATTCCCATGCTGTATTAGCGTGTGCTGATTACTGCATCCAGTGCATTGCTTCGAATCATGTAGTTAATGCAGCCACGAAGATTATATTTTCATATGAGAAGAATTACAGTTTCCCGAATCGTTTTCGAAACATGTGTTTTTACTTTTCTCCCCAATTGGTTTTTGTCAATCAGGTAGACTTATTGTGCTATTATCCTTTGTGCACCCCCTCTTGTAAAATCACTACGTCACGTACTCCTGGAGTACGTGACGTAGTGATCCTGACGAACTGGAGATTTAACTATTTAATTTCCTTGAAAAAAATTGAGCCGTTGGAGGGGTTTGCAGAGACATGCCAATCCCAGTTCTGTAATTGTTACTTAGCCTTTTTTTAGCTGCGGGATAGCAGCTCAACAAATCATCCTGTGTCTCTCTGTTTGTCCGTTAGTTAGTTAGGGTTATTTTTACTGAGAACACTACTACTTACATGGCACAATCACGTGACTCATGCATGAACACGAATTCGTTGGCCCGCAGCTTCCGAGCTTTTTTTAGGGGGGGGGGGGTCATCCGCGGGTGAATAGCTGAATGCCTAGGGTAATTTTTCCTCTGCAACCAGTTATCGTCATAAACCATGATGCGCTTGCCTGAATCATTATCATGTGATTGAAATCTGTGTCACGTGAATTGGGATGACTTTATAGGGTTTAGATTTTGAGCGGAGATCGAAGCAATATCGTGGCCTAGTGGGTTGGGCTTTATTTTGATCATACTGGATGCTGTGGGTACGAGAAATTAGAAACCTAATTTCTGTTTTCTATTTAATCGTGTTTTAATTATAATTCAAGCCCTATTTTCGTCAGTGAAATAAACTTCACCTTTAGTTTCCGATGTATGGCTCTGGGGCTTTCTTTAAAGGAAGTATAAGTCCGAGACCACATTCCACCAACAACTGACGCATTCGCATTCAGGTCAATGACTTTTATTGGTTGCAGGAAAAAAAACATAATTGCTACTGGGGTACAAATCGAGCCACGTTGGTCGGGCACTTTTGAGTACCCGGCCCATGACTTGATAAAAAAAAGTGTTGGATGCGCATGAAGTCGTGTTTTTCTTTCATATTAATCTTGAGTGCATGGGTAAACCTGTCACATCGCCTCGGCATGCATAGCTCAGGTGAGCCTCAACTTATGCATTTCATCAACACGGGCGATGATTTCTCTGGTCGGGCCTTTTTTTCGACCACTGAAACATTTCGGCTCGGGTCGGTAGTCTTTACTGATCCACATGATACAAGGTGCATGTACTTTTGCAGGTACATGTACTTCCAAAACGCGTTTATTTAGAATTCTTTGGAAGTACACTGTACAATTTTTGTGAAATAGTGAAGTTGATCGTCTTCGTCAGTTGTTATGCATGCGAACCAAATCTTGTTTGTTCGTGTGCCACATATCTATATTCCACTCAAGGAACAATAAACTGAATTTTGCACTAAGTCTTTTTGGGAGGAGAAGTTCATGCCTGTGCATTCCATACATGTATACATGTATACATAATTTGTATATAATATGGCGCATTTTTCCTTCTTATTAATGTGTACTGTATTCCATTATTGTACCTGCTGCCAACATTACATCCAAGGGCCCAAACCTAGGTGTAGAGTGGACCCCCCAAAAAACACAGAAATAAGCGATCTCAGCAAAACAGTTTAGTGCAACAGTTTAAAATCAAAACCCTTTAGTACTGAAACACTGATGGACTGAGGCTTCTGTTTAATGTGAATCACTGATTGCTTAAGATTGTGAAAATGCCATTTTTATGTTTATGGTGAAACATTGAAGGTCAATCGCATACCCAAGTTAATTTAAAGAATCCAGTCCAAGAGAATTCCATCTCGCATACCTTTAAGCTTTAAACGTAAAACTACTTTTAGTAAACCTTCAGCAAGGAGTTAAGTACTTGCATGCATTTTCACTGTCTTGTTTTATTTGGATGTGGTCGGGTCACAAATTTACGAGACATTTCTCTTCGCCCTGGGAAAGCACATGCCTCTTTCGATTTCAGTGTAAAAACGTCAACACTCCAGTAAATTCTGTAGGTTGGTGGAAGAAATGTCTTATTGCCTAAAATATGTGTGATATATCGCACAATGTCCGCTGTTAGGACAGATCCGATCCTAGAGAAATATTTCAGATGATTAAGTGTAAGAGTGTTTGTTAAAGAAATGAACACACGGTGTAAATTGTGAGTGATGTTGGAATAAAGGCCAAATTAATCGCAGCCATGAATAAGCCAAATAATTGTCAATAACAGTCATTTCTTGTTCAAACTTCCTGCTTTTGCCCCTATGTAGTTTCATTTGTCTTACCTTCCCCGCATTATTGTTCCCGTTCTGTAGTAAGTCATAATTAATTTGGGGAACTGAAGATTATATACATTTTTATGCCATTCCAGGGCGCACATCTCCCGTGAAGGCACCAATTGCACCTAACGAAGGTTTCACCGAAATATTTTGGGTTTTTTTCTTTTAGGGCATGTATTATCTCCACAACAGCGTGATACAAACACATGGGAACCTCAAGTCCTCGAATTGTGTGGTCGACAATCGCTTTGTGGTCAAGATCACCGATTTTGGGCTGCACTCCTTCCGTGAACCGGACCACCCGTTTGAGCCTGACGAGGACGATTCTTTCCAGTATTATCAGAGTGAGTACAAAATCAAACATTCTTGTTGTAAATAATGAAAAGTATCGAATCTTGTCAGTCTAAAACAGACACCGCCCATGATGTGTATCCAATATGTTACAGTCAGGTTGTTTGGGTCGTGTTAGCGACTTGCTCAGCTGATCTGTTGATTTGTAGCAGAAAAGGGATACAATGTACTTAAGTTTCGAATTTATCCAGGTGTAAGAAGTACCCTGAAGCGCCCTCCAGAGTCGATAATGACTTTTACTTTCTAAGCGTACGACAGTGGTTCACTGTATACGTTCTGAATTATGTATTCCACATCGGATGCACATTCGGGGGTTTATATTACCAGTATCGGTATAACATATCTATCAAGAGCAATTTTCGTTGATATGGATCAGATTAGCTACGGTACCTTTAATATATCAATATATATAGGTCCCAACATGAGTCATTGTAATTTTTTGACGATATAGATCTTGTCAAATCTAACTGTTTGTCCGACTCTGCGCATTTGGACCCACAGTCACGTACCCCATTTTGCAACATGATGGATAACATGATTATGTCTGACAAGAACCTTGGAAACTGCACCATACCGCCTATTTAGTCCCTAGAGATTTTCTTTATATTAATAAAAGCGAACTGCCTCAGGTTTTTACACGATTCTGCGGTGTCCGTGGGTGGAAAGTTCCAGATATCTTGGGACAAAACAACATGAGTTGATTTGGGCCAATTCAATCATCTCTTCTCATGAATAATAGTGTTGTGCACGAGTGTTACTTCACTGCAGATGCTAGGAGGGGGATAAATTTCTTTATAAATAGTGATCCAGACTTTTTTGTCAAGGTGCCAAGAAAAAGTAAACACTGGGATAATGCATGTATCTTCACCTCCGTCCCTGCTTATAAATTAACAGCTTATAAAAATGTAAGCTTACGCCCGCGAGGGCTCTGAATACAAACATAAACAGGCTAAATCATAACACAAGGTGTCAATTTGGGTGTCCTTAATTATTCATATGGGAGTCAGATGTGCCCAGGAGACCTCCCGAGTAACACCCGGGTAACTCC